TTACCGAAAATGAAATAAACAGGTCACAGCAAAGTAGAATGACCGTAGAAATATTAAAAGCGGCGCCAAACTCTCTCATTAAAAATGTCATTAATTAAGTATGGCGCGAAACGGTTAAAAAGAGAGACATCATTTACTTATGAGAGACGGCGCTCTTTTCTTTCGTTGTTATATCCTTTATTCAGTATTAGAACTGAAGAGTTCTAAAAATAATGATGAATTAAAATAAAAACTCCCTAGGCCAGAAAAGAATTGAAAAAAAGAACGACGTGGACAGGGATTGAACTTGTGACCGCTCGTTCCACAAGTAAATGCCTGTAACAAATAGGCCACACACGTCACTAAGGAAAGTATCCCCGTTTCTTTTTATATTGATAAAATATCTTTTGTAGAATGAGTAGTCCAACTTTCGGCATGTTTCACTTTTGGACTATTAGAGTTTCTTGTACACTATTAATAAAGCATACTGTCTTGCACAGTATTTTGTGCTCATTCCGAATTTCACACTTTCAGCCACCGGAAACACACCCAGACCGTGAAAAATGAGATAAAAAATGAGCCAAGAATGACTCATTTATATGCCATATATGGCTCATTTTCAAATCATATCTCTCCCATATTTATCTCATTTATTGTATCATAATTCTCATTCTAAATCATTCTCTTTAGTTTTCATGATATATCTTTACAAATATTAATACTTGAGATGGTTGAAATAGTCAGATAAAAACATATCCTATGTCTAAACGTATCATATTTAATAATCAAACGAAAGTATCCTTAACTTGTCGCTTTCAAAAAAATCACTTTTTAAACTGTTCATAACTATGTTTAAAAAAGATAATATTTGTAAGTTCATGTCTACTGAATACTTGCTAGATATTATAATCACTCGGAAGACGTTCATTCTTATACCATATTCGAGAGTTCCTTACTTTTCTTTACGATGACATAAGAAATCACTATTGTTGTTGTTTGTTCTTTTTATTCTGCAGCTATGTTAACAAAAGTTTATCAGCACATACACATCTTAGTTTTACCATGACATGTAAATATAACTGATAACATCTCACTTTTGGACATACAAAATAACATTTTTGAATACATGAAAGAGACTATCGGGAAAAAAGATAAACTCCAATATTTCACTTTCTGCAAAACTCTTCTAAATTGTTTTTCATGCACACACAGATCCTACAAAATGATACATAGATCGTTGTAGAATTTTGATCATCTCTGTAGATGGCACTTTTGTATGGTTCAGATTTTGCTTCTATCGCAACCTCAATTGTTGAAATAACCGATGGTTTTTTTCCTCTAATAAACCAGCCTTGCTGCCAGGTCTAAATCCATGAAAACTTTTTAACTCTGAAATGATTGTCAGATTTCAATATAATCATGGTTTTCTATGTTTATAAAGATATTTGTATCGACTGTGTCAACTACATTGACTGTTTTCGCTGCATTTTCGATGTGGTGTCGAAATGTCGACAATGAGAATCTCGACAGAAAAATGTCGACAAAAGAGATGTCGACTTCGAAAAATGTCGAATGCGAAATGTCGACGCAAAGATTGTCGACAAGCAAAATATCGACAGAAAAAAATGTCGAAGTTTTTATTATAACACAGAATAGTGACATAGCATACCGTCGTGTATTTTCTTCTCTTTCTTTACTTTCTTTGTACATGTCGATCTGGATATAGAATTTAATATATCTTGCTTCTTTCTTTCTTGACTGACGAAATTCTCGCTTTTCTGTAATAACCGTCATTCGTGTACACACCATCATACTAGTACAATCGACACATCATTTTGTTTCATCCATCTAGTGTGATTAGCGTCTCGTGTTTCTATAATGTCAACCACTCCTGTTCTCAGCTTTCCGACCAATAACAAACGCAAGCCGATCTTGATCTGTGATGGATTCATCTATCAATTAAACAAAATACGACCAAAGATCAAGTATTGGCGTTGTATGGATCGGATGTGCTCGGCTTGTATGCATACCGATCACAACGATCAATATATGGGGAAATCAGGTGATCATGACTCTCACTTGCCGATACCTGAAAGTATCGAAGTTAGTGTCTTCAAACAGAAGGTGAAAGAATGGATCGTTGGTACGAAATGGAAGTAATTTAATACATATATGCTGGTACATTAACATAAATATATAATTTCCACTACTTTTCCCCCATAGTCATGTATGTTTTACTTCTTACTCACGTGTATTAGATTTTAACTTAGTCAATAATAAATATAATATGATCACAGTTCAATTTTGTTATTTTTTTCAGTTGTCGACATTTTGTTTTTCGACATTCTGCTCTCTCGACATTTTGCACGGTCGACATTTTTCCATGTCGACGTTTTTCTACGTCGACATTTTTCTTTTGTCGACACTATGCTTTTCGACATTCGTCTGTCGACATTTTCCTGTCGACCTTTTGCCACTTTACCCAATCGCATTTTCCAGTTTGATTATTCAGTACTAGAGTCTTGCAGGGTAAGACTTTTTCGTAACCTACGCCTGACCCTACTGTAATTTTCTTACCCTTGCCCTGCCCTACCCTACCTTAAGATTTCTGGATTTAATTGGCAGCTGTTCTCACCCTTACAGTTCAATAAATCATATCTATTCATATAGATCCGATGACAAAAGCCAAAAACGTGTAGAATATGATTAATATCGTACATTATTTTAGCTCGTTTGTTGATATTTATTCTGGATATTAACTGAGAACAACATGAACGATAAATAGATTATATATTCATTCAAAATTAAATTTAAATATAATAAATATAGAATAAACAAGATTGTTTTTGTAATTTTAAAATTGCTTATGTACCTTGTGTTTAAGATTCCATTGTACTCGTTCTTGCTATAGTCGTAGTTAGCATACGATGTCTCTTCATTTGTATGCTTGCAGCTCTTTGCTTTTGTATTTTGGTTTTTAAATTCGTACAAAACGGCACTTGACAATATTGATCCATACAACTTTTTGCATGATACCAACTAAGGAATACAACATGTTTGCATACATTACATTGACTATTTCTTCCTTTACATTCTTTTGTATGTTGTACAACACGTTTATAACGAAAACAACTACGATTGATACAATTAATTTTTCGACATTTAACAGCATGCAATAATGCTTCAATACAATGTTGCATAGATTGTTGACGTTGTAATTGTGAACTTGCAATAGATTTACCATTTGGATTTGAAGAATTTTGATCACATTCTTCAACTATTGATGGCACAGAACGTTCCATTTTATGTTCATGTTTTGGTTCAAGATTATAACATTTTTCACATAAATCCAAATCTTCACATACTGTACAATGATAACGTATATCACATTGTTGTCGACATGTATTACAATTATATGTAAAGTTATCCGTTGTTGATGTATGTAATTTATATAATAAAACCATTGTTGAAAATTTTGCGCGACGTAAAGATGAAAATTCATAGTGGTTACTATGACAAAAAATTAAAAATGCTTCTCTTGTATCCATTAAACCACATTGAATTAAAGCATCAGTGTCATTGACAGCTGGATATGATGCCATAGGATTACCTACACGAATAACAAAGAATTCCTAACAAAACAAAACAAACATTTTTATATTTATAGTTATTCAATATAAATATGTTTTTACTTTTTTATATTTTTTCATTGTAACATATATTTTGGACATTAAATCTCTACAAGTGGGCATTTGATTTTTCGCCTTTAAAATTGAATAAATAAATATATTAAAAGCGCTTTTCTTCATTGTTTAGAGGTTCATTATATATCGAAAAAGTCTGCTCGAGGCAAAAGTTTCTATTCTATGCACTTCATTATTCTTATTAGATGATGTCTTAGAAAAAAGCGAATAAAATAATATTTACATCTGTTAGATCTTCAGGTTCAATATGATCATCAAAATCACTATCTTCCATTTGTGTTGTTGCTTCAATTTCTTGTTCTCTTCGATCTTCTTGTTGATCGAGCTCTTAAAAGATTTAAATTTTTTTCTATTTTAATAACTTAAATATAATTTTTTTTACTTTCAATACTTTCTTCAATAACATTCAACCAAAAATCACCTTCAAAATATGGAATATTTAAAGCATTTAGTACTTGATTATCTAGACAATCTTTCAAAATATCCTTCAAAAAAGAAAACAATATTTAATCAAGTACACAAAAAAAGACAGAAAATTTTAATGTTACTTTATAGTCAACAACAACGTGTTCTATAATCGCTTTATCTAGCATATTTCCAAACCAATTTTGAAAAGCTTTCGGTTCCATTACAGATTGTTCAGCTGGACGACAATGAAATATATAATCATTATCTTCACTTGGTGGATATGCCCATATATGTACGTACATATAACCCAATTGTTTAATATAATCCAAATATCCAATTAAAATTTCATGATAAACATCAGTTTGATAGAGTTGCGGTTGAAAAAAGTCCACGAAATCCAGAAACGAGATATAAACACGTCGCGTATTCGGTTCTGAACAATGTTGATCATATTCTTGTACATACATACCAAAGAAAACAATATCAACACCTTCGATATTTTGAAAAGCAAATACAGCTTTTGCTCGATATGGATAATTATCTCGTACTTCATTTGGATAATACTTTTTTAAATTTGGTTTTACTTCACATATTTTACTACTGGATGCTAATACACGAATTGTAACACGACTTGTATGTTGAGTCCAGCGGTGGCGACTTTTTTGCCTCCGAAAACCGACTCCGGTCCCGAAATTTTTCTTTTTCTAACTCCGGCACCGGCACGGATTCCTTAAAAATAATGGTGCTCACCTCCGACTCCGCCTCCGACTCCGAGAAAAATTTCTCTCGGAGTTCGGTTCCAACTCCGAAAAACTCCGAAACTATTTAGTGAAAGTGAGCGACATCTGGTGGGTTTTTTTACAAAATT